AGTATTGGGCCCCAAATTGTTTATCCTGTATATCAATGACGTGTAAAGTATCAAGGTGGTTAAAATTGGTCAATTTCACGGATGACACAAATATTTTTGGTTCAGATGAAAACATTAAACAAGTGGAAACAGTTATAAATGAGGAAATGAAAAAATAAAAATATGGTTTGACTGGAACAAATTATCATTAAATGTAAGAAGGACTAGGTTTATGTTATTTGGCAAATGCACAGTAAACACAAAGGTGCAAATAGAAATAGATTGGGTTGAAATTGAAAGGGTGCACGAAATGTCCTTAGCTTCTGTGTGAGCAAATTAAACAAAGAGCAAAGAAGGAAGCTGACATTGCATTCACACTTGTATTTTGACCTGAATGGCATCAACTTTTCCCTGAGATTATAGTAGGCAAGTTCTCTGCAGTGAGATGAGATTCTTATAGATGGATTCCTATACCAACATCTGGAGCTACAGGGGGCCTTTGATGCAGTGGAGCCTTCCCTCAAAAGCAGACAGACCAACAAGCAGGTGACCTTTAAATTTAACCCCTCTATTGTTTCCCACTTTGAACTTTCCAATAGGAAAGGGAAATTTAATTGGTGAAGTCAGCACTTCGAGTTGTCCTTCACAACTACCAAACCTGTGCTGAGAGCAGTGTTGATAGAAGTAGAAGGTATTTTAAATTCAAAACCTCTTCGCTACCTCTCCATGGATGTGGTTGACCCTGATGTCATCACTCCAAACATGCTCCTTATGGGGCAGTGAGACTCTTCACTCCCCTAGGCTATGTTTGCAGAAAGCTACCTCATTGGAAGATGGCACTGGGCCAACTTCCTCCACAACTATCTGCCAAGCATACAGCATTGCCTAAAAGTGGCAAGAAGAAGTAAAGGCCATGGATATTGGGCAGGTTGTTCTTGTCAATGACTGTGGATCCTCTGGCCAGAAGGCCACATTATGACTGAATATATATAGCTGAAGTACTGGTCACAGACTGCAAGTATCTCCAACCAGTAACACACCTCTCTCCAAAATGACAAATGAGGATGAGCAGTCACTGGATCTTTTGGGTGTACAAAAGATCCAGTGACTGGCTCTGTCTCGGCTGTCTGCTCTGTCTTGGCCATGCCCAGTACAAGTACAGCAGGGACACACCTCTGCACTCAGTTGAGAACTGCTGGTCCTTAAAACTGTAGTCCATTCAGACACTCAGGTTGGTCACAAAAAGCAGTGCCACATTGCCTTGTCTCTCAGTCATTGAGTGAATCTGTGGTTTAGCGGCGTAATGAACCAAATATGAGTAAAGGGAAATTCTAAATATTCTTTGTAAATTCTGATTTAAGTTAAAATTGTTTCACAAAACTTAAAGGCTGTGATTCTTGTTTCATACGGAACCTATTATGTTATATTTAACCTGTAAACCTGCGCCACAGTGTTAAGCTTTAATTAGTCAAAATTGTGATCATGAATATTAATCCAAAAGGCCTTTTTTTTTCTTAGACACACCATCGGATTTAGCATACAGAGCGCCCCGCCCTTAATTATGTGTAACTTTAGGCCTTAATAAAATGTAAATGGGTCAGTAACATAGAAATTCACACCCTGTGCAGTTGTCATGAAGGGGACATTAGCTATAGAGACCAAAACAGTTTTTTGTTTGTTTGTTTGTTTTTGTTTGGGGGTTTTTTAAACCAGGCTATAAACATGTTTATTTTTGCTGTAAAGTTGGGCATTTTAAAGGCACCATATGTAAGAATGTGGCCAAAACGGTTACTGCACTCAAATTCAAAATACTGCCGCGAGTCATGTCAGGGCCACGTCGCCGCGTCGTTGATCTTCAGTTTTCCAGCGGACCGTTCGAACAAGTCCGGCTTCTCTGCTGCTAACGCTGCTGCCGGGATACAGCTGAGGAGGAGCCGGCTGCTAGTGCTATGTACCGGGACACTGCTAACGCTGCTGCCGGGATACAGCTGAGGAGGAGCCGGCTGCTAATGCTATGTACTGGGACACTGCTAACACTGCTGCCGGGATACAGCGCAGGAGGAGCCAGCTGCTAATGCTATGTACCGGGACACTGCTAATGCTGTTTGCCATGCTGCTGACGTTTGTTTCTCAAAAAAATCAGTCGGGTCGATGACCCACCTGCACATGGGCTACAATGTATGATTGAAAATGAATAACAGTTTAAAGTATTCAAAATGTCCATCCCCGTCTAGCTATGATGCTAGTTAGCCAACTTTGGCTAAAGCTTACCTGTCAAGGAGAAGATTAGCCACTTCGACATCTGATTTCAAATTCTTCTCCGCTTTAAACCGTCTCCACCATTCAAAGTCATCTCCTATATAGACCCTCGCTTTGCCTTGAGTTTTGTCTTGGCGTTTTTGGGAATCATAACGAGGTCGTTTGGGTTTAGTCGCACCGTCAGCCATTGTAGCTCAGTCGCATGTTGGGATTCACAGGACCACAGATGATTTATCATTTGGTAAAATCATCACTAATTTCAAGGCTTTTTCCTCTGCATGCTCTTTGTCTTCAAATAAAGAGAGCTATGTGACACCCATCTCCACAGGAGGTCTCACCTCACACCTCAGTGAGACTCAAGTCCCAAAACTTGATTGGACAAGACCTTTTACAGTGACATGTGACTCTGTGATGTCACAGGCATCTGTAGATTTGTGCTCACTTACACAGATCTCTCTCTTCTTGCTCCAGCTGTTGAACAGCTAACACCTCTTCCCGTTTGGGCCTGGACAGCAGAGGCCCGAACCCTTGTTCCATAGCCCAAACCACTAAAGGGAGGGCAACTGATCACGGACTCTCTGGCAAACACAAGGTTTGCAAACCAGCTTTCCAGCAACAAGGAACTAAGTGAGTTAGCACCCAGCGTCTAATTCTGCAAGGACCCCGAGCGACCAGCTTCCTCGGATCAGAACCTTTGGAACAAAGGACCCAACAAAGACTGCACCTGGAACCATCTTCCCAGCCTTCTTCTGCCGGCTAACAGCAGTACACCACCGAGTGACTCTTTCCTCCATCCATTCAAGGATCGGTAATGTAACAACTGGGCATAGCTTATCACAGCTTTGCAGGCTAAGCAAGACTGTTTAACTTGTTGTATGTGATTTAATGCTGTTTACTGAGTATGGTTGTGATAGATTGCAGTCAGGTCATTGATTAGTTGGCTTCGCCAAAGCTAAGTGTTTAGTTTGCTAATACTGTTCACAAACAGATTCTTGCATTCAACTAAACAATCTCTGTACTAATCCAGACCGTTTGCAACACACGTCACATTGACATAGACTCATTAACAAATAGGCTTTCAACAGAGCTACATCCAAACAGGCATTTCAAAATTCCCGCTTCTTTTCCTTTGTCTTTGTCCTGACCACACAGTCAGACAACCACCTCCCTGAAACTGAAGCAGCCTTGATTCAGCCATTTTGGTAGTTCTCTGTTGTCAGCCATTTTGTTTTGTAGGCCAAACGGCTACTTGATCACCACACCCGCCTTTGTATTTCTCTTCTTTCTCTCTCTCACACACACATATATACACACCAAGCTTGTATATAGTTAGTTAGAATTTGTGTGTTTTGGTTTGCTTTGCTAATTTGTGAATAAATATAATTCTTTGGAATCATACCTGCTGTCTGTTTAATGTTGCACAAGGGTGAATGAATAGTCAACCTCTGCTGCGTCAAGAACTCCAAAATCCTTCAGGCATTACCGTTAATTTTGGTTGTTGTCATTAATTTAATTATTAATCAAACTCCAAATTAATAGTTTAGCCTATTTTATGAGACTGATATCTTTAACTGGCTATCATTTTTCCCTTTACGGGAATGGTGCCCCACGAGGTGATTTAATGTTAATTAAGTCACATTATTTAACATAATTATTAATTATTAATAATAATTATTAATTATTTCCGATAGCCAATTTAACCCCAACATATTTGGTGCCTCCGTGTGAAGCCTAAGGTGTTGACCCCAACATATTTGGTGCCACCGTGTGAGGTAAATATATGTTGATTCCCAGCACGTAACTGTAACTGATGCTGAGACTCTACTGACTGCGTGACTGGTAGACGGCGGTGGGTGGCACAACAGGCCAAAACACAAATTCAAAACATAAACATGATTTGCAGACCATAAAAAAAAAAAATTAAATGTGAATATTCTGGCTGTAACTATTGTTGTCGGTGAGATCAGTATGTTATATTAACATTATTCCTTAGTGTCTGTGACATATTAGGATGATTTTACGACTATTTGCTTTAGATTTCTTACATATAGCTCCTTTAACATGGGGGCCTATGGGGACTGACTGGCTTCTGGGGTCAGGCTCAAGTGGCCATTAGAGGAACTGCAGTTTTTTTGCTGTACTTGAGTTGGCTTCATTTTTCAGCCCTGCAGGTTGTCACTTGATATTTACCCACTACATTCCACTGTTTACATCATGATCACAGCCTGACTGATAAAGGATTATTGAGGCAGATGTCAATGTTGATAAAATATTGAGACATCAAAAAGTCAGATAATAGTATTTGATATGATCAATATATCATGATTCACATATGATAACTATGATAAATTGGCAGATATTAATTATTTAAACATGAATGCATAACACTTACAATTAATTAATTCATTAATGTTAAATCATTTCATGTAATTCCATTCAGCCAATAAAATATGTGCATTCTGATAAGGACTTCTAACTGTGCCATGGCATGTCCTGTGTGAACAGCCTTATTGCCTAACATGGGTGCCAAAAGGACATAGGCAGGGCCCCATAGTTAACTGTGGTGCTCCGAAACTTATCTGTGAAATTTCTCTAGCCTATTCAAATTTCCTGTCACTTACTGGTCAATCATGCCAACTTATTGGCAAATATAATTAACTGCCAAGCTCTTGACCAGTGACCCTCTACACAGCAAAGGAAGCAGAGGTACAAATACAACCCTTAAACCTGTGTGTGTGTTTGTCTGTGTGTATTTTCTGCAGGTTAACGGGCTCCAAAACCTCCTGCCATTCTCCAATTCAACCAACGAATCAGTGGTCAACATTTATCGGAAACACAGACTGGCTGTCCTTGAGACAACCTTTATTAAGGTATAAATACCCATATGTATACAGTCAGTTATACAATATTTGTAATATACAACCCTTTAGAATTTCATTCCTTCTCAAACCTCACATTGGTCTTAACCTTAAGCTGATTACAGTCAAGTATTTATTTCTTATCAATATACATTTATACATACATGTATATAAATGGCGGCTGTGGCTCAGAGGTAGAGTGGTAGAGACCCAATAAAGTGGTTATGCCAATTTTCATAGAGAAAGAGACAAGCTTTTTTTAAATCCCAAATGTTTATTTCAAAACTGCATGAATGAGGACTTATCAATGATTCATTCATTCATTCATTCATTTTCCGTAACCACTTATCTTGCTAGGGGTCACGGGGGGGGCTGGAGCCTATAACAGCCGACATTGGGTGAGAGGCATGATACACCCTGGACAGGTAGCAAGACTATTGCAGGGCTAGTACATAGAGACAGACTGATTAAAGCAGCACTTACCTTTCTGGAAATTTTACACTTTTCTTTTTTAATAAGCTGATGGCACACTAAAATGTAAGTGAATTCCACCAGAGATAAAAACTCATAACCATACCATTCACATATGGTTATAAGAAAAGAACTCCTGTCCTGTCTGTCTTCCCCATGTGGAGGCCTCCGACTGGACTGACGTAAGCTCCATGGTGGCAGTCTGGCAATATTCACAAACAATTCATGGTGCTGTGATGTGAAGAGGATCTCCCAGTTCTGCTCTCAGGATGTGGAGTTTTTGACTGTGAAATGTCGACCCTTTTCATCTTACTATTGCACTATATGTTCTTTCTTGTATGTTGCACAAATTGTTTTTCAATGTTTTGTTTCTTTTTGCTTGGGGTATGCAAAATGTCATTTCGTTTTTGTGCTGCGCATAAAAATGACAAATAAAGAAGTTCAGTTCAGTTCATAACGTTATATATGAAAACATAGCATCCAGTTGCTAATGGCTAACGTTAGCCTACTGTAGCGTAGCCTCTGAAACATTAATGTTATCTTCCTTGTGCGTTTCCACTTACTAGTAACATTAACACTACTATATAACGTTAGCACTGTAACCGTATTCTAAAACTCATTAGTCATCACCAACTCCGGTTGAGTTTTAAAACTCCAGGGTTGCGTTTGACTGTCTTGGTTGTAACGTTACACTCGCTCTCCTCCGTGTATCTAACGTTACCTTGCCAACGCCTACGTCTATCATAGACGTAATGAGGACGTAATGGAGGAGGGGGGAGTAGGCCTTTGGAGGGAGATGGAGTTGTGGATGTTAAAATTTTTTCGAAGTGCTGTGTGAAATGCAAGAAAGGTTACTGTACGTTCAAACCAGAAGCTTCCAAAGAGGTAAAGTCACGTGAATCACTGAATGTTCAATCGTGCTTGTCAGTTTAAAGGTGCTGCAAAGCAGACTACTGGCTTGAAAGAGACGTAGTTGCTGCTTGTTGTTGTCCAGTCAAAAAGCTCATAGTTGGCCAACAGAAAGTTATGTTTGGTCAATGAAAACAAAAAAAGTATGTCATCCCATTCAAACCAAGCAAGGAAGACTTGCATGCTACGTCGCAACATTAGCTTGCAATTCTCTCCTCTATTACTAACATTACACACTTTAAAACTCACCAGACCAACCAACTACCTCCGCGACGCGGTCCCAAGCCTCATTCTTTTTATTTTGGTCTTTGTAACTGAACAGGGACACATTATAAAGGATATACATTGTTGGAACAAGTGTGCTGTAGGAACCAAAGTTACATGGCTTGTTCTCTGGGACCCACTTCATCGAAGCACGTCAGCATTCCGATTGGTTGCTGCCGAACCACTTCAGAGCTCATTACCATAAAGTTAAACAAGTTTTAACTCCCCTCCGGACCGCTCCGGTTGCTTTGGTTGCCCAAGACACGTGGCAGACGACCAGGTCGCCCAAGTCAACCAAGTCGCTAGGCTCTCATTGAAAATTAATTACATCCGCCGTTTGGAAGCTCTGGTCGCTTTTGGTGTGAACGTACAGTAAGAGTAGCTTTAAGTCAAAACATGTTGGTCTTCCATATATTAATAAATTATTTTTACTTATGGCCACTTCCTGTTTTTCTTTTTTTTTTTTACTGTGGATTTCCTGCTTCTAATCAAATAAATGCCAAAATGTGTCACATAAAGTTGATAAAATGTTTAAATGAAGTTCAGCTCAACCTTAATAATACTAAACCCAAGTCCTAAACACGAAATATCAGATCTGCATCATATCTGCTTGGAGAGGTGGGACAGACCACGGTGTTTATACTTTAATAGTTTGATGGTTTAAAACTCAGCTTTTAACAGTGCCTGATTTCTCAAAAAATAAAAACAATCTACAGAGCCTGGTAAGTGTTATGGGAAAAAAAAATCACAAACACAACATAGAAATTAATGCAGCAGCTGTTGTTGGTCAGTAAATAGCTCCAGTGCATAAATTTAAGCCATATTGTCTTAGAGCTACAGTACATCTCTGCTGAACAGAAGGAATTAAAATTAAAATTTTACAAAATTCTAGAGAAGTCATTAAAGGCATTCCTAGTACAGCCGTGAACTTCTAGAATAACTGAACATCTTCACTGCTGTTGGTCCAGTCTCTGTTTCAATGATGTATTGTAATACTGTACCCCAACAGCAATGCCTCAGCTTGAACATAACTTTTCCTTTACATTCCACATTTTTAAAGGTCTCCTTTGACTTTGCGAGTGCAGTTTGGGTGGATCTGGCAACTAGTTATCAAAATGCAACCTGCGGCCTGTGTGGAAACTTTAATGATGACCCGGCTGATGACCTGATGTTGCCCAATGGGAAACTGGCTTCCAGCACCAATGAGTTTGGAGTAAGCTACTGGCTGGCGGATGTGGAGGGCTGCTCCCATGATTGTAAGCATCTTACACAGTGTTATTTATCTTCACTTTTGTGCTGTGTATCTTTGGTCCCTTTTAGACATACACCTCTTCATATTATTTTGATGGTAATTTTTCATATCATATCTAAATAAGCATCGAGTCACTTTTACCATAAAAGTCACAATGCCAATCTTACCAGGTTGGACCTAGTTTCTGTACACTACCCTCTATTGCATGAATTATTACTGAAACAAGATCAAATGTTTTAATGTGTTTTTATGCTTGTGTTGAAATAATGGAAGTAATTGAAAAAAAAAAATGAAAATCTGAGGGCCTGTCTAGGCCTTCATAAGATTATATTTGATGATTATGATATGTAAACAACTGCTATATTTGCTGTGCTTAAGTGGTTTACCTCTTACCTATTATATGGTCTATTGTTAGAAAGCTACACTCCTCATTTGAAGATACAACCACCACAGCAAGTTAAAAAAAAAAATGCTTCTGTCGGACAAAAAAAATAAAAGTTATAACTCACCTTTGAAGCATTATTTTAGTCCACATATCAATTATATGCCAACAAAAACGTCGCTCATACAATCCTCATGCACCCCCAACAGTCCAAATGATCTAAATCCAGTGAAATTTTAAGTCCAAACACATTATTACACCCACAGAGATCCACCAACTGCCGTTGTATCATTTCAAACGTTCTTATTACTCCACGTATTGTCCATAATGTCTACAGTTTCTTGTAAATATGCCAGTAGCTGGGTATCAAAAGGCAGCAGAACTCTGATCTTTTGATTGACACCTCACTTGAGTCAATAGGAGCTTCCATGCTGATAGTCTAGTCTTCAAAAGGCAACAAGGGGCTGTGTTAAAGGAAGTGCCATCCCTACTTACCTTGGCCTTAGAGCCAACCATTAGCTAGTGCTGGGCCCAATGGTTTATGGGTCTTGTAGTCAGTGATGTGTCTCACCTCCAGAGGAGTTTTTTTACTCCTTCCTGGCAGCACAGACTGTTATAAATGTACATAAATTATAAACAAGTGGCTCCTCTGTTGTCTTAAGGGGAAAAAGTCTTTCTCATAAATTCTCATAAAGGTTTTCTAGAAGTGTTTTTATGCACAGTAAGCTCCTAAATAGACATTTCTGTCTGTTTTTCACTCATAATCACACATTCAGTACATTGTTTTACCCTCTTTTTTTTTTTTTTTTAAAGTGCCCAAAGTATTAGAAAAACATGTGGAAAATGTTTATTTTCTGTGATATTGGTATCTACTTTGAATCTGGACTGTGTGAGGCATCATGATATGGTCACAAACAGTGCATATGCACAAATCTGTATTATAATTTTAATTTAACATTTTTTTAATGCCTGAATCAGTATAATTCAAATGTGAAGGTAGAAAGAAGTTTTATTGTGGTGATCTATGAGTAAGGTGATATCATATCCTGTTCAACAAAAACAAGGGTTGCATTCCGAATCACATACTTTTTCTTTTTACTTTTAGTAGGTACTATTGCTGCCCTTAAAAAGTATGTACTGTTGCATGCAGTATGCACACAATAGGGACATACTACTTTCTCATAACATTACGTCCTGAACTTTGACCCTCTTGCTTTTATATCCGTTACCTTGAAGATAAAACAAATGCCACTCACCAAGTTTATACCAGAAATAGAGATCAAACTGGAGAGCTCTTCTGTTGTTACTTTGCAATGTATGTTGTTTAACTTTAACGTTAAAACTACATAGATTGTAGATTCAAACATATATTTGTGACAATGAAATTACATCTGCAGCTCTCTGATAACGTTATTTTTGGTCTCCATTTTGAAAGTCCAAGATGGACGCCACAGAGACTTTGAAAAAAATGGAAACACTGGTTTTGGGACTTGTCAGACTCTAAACTTTCCAAAAATATATAGTTTATAAACTTCCCAAAGATTTTGAGCGAAGGTTAAAATTAGGACATTGTGAACCAGACACTGTCGTCTGTCGCTGTCTTCTGACAGCTGTCAATCAGCTGTCAAGCTGGCATACTGCATTTGACATACTATGTATTGAAACACACTAAATGTCAAAGCAAGAAAGCAGAAAATGACACCTGACTTTTGGCTGTTGATTTCACTTCTTGTATTAATTTCTCTCCACTTCAGCTTAACATCATTCAGAGAAGCATGGAGAGAGAATTTTGCACTAAAAACACTAACTTTAGAAGATATCTACTTGATTTGTCTACCTCAAAACACTTAAGGCTCATATTTACTTTAAATAAACGTTAGTACACCAAATGAAGAGTTTGTCCCCCATCAAAATTGCAGTAAGATAGGATTTCTTCATGGCAAGTATGAGCAGGTTGAATGACTACAGCAAGCAAAACCTGTTTCAGTGTTCATATGCGCTCCTGGCTGTCCTAATGACATTGGGCCTCATTCACAAACAGTGCGTACGCACAAATCTGTGCTTAAACTGTGCGTACGATCGTTTGACGCACAAATCCGGGATTCATCAATATTTTCTTACCCGAATTTGTTCTTACTCTGCGAACAAATTTAGAACTGCCTCAGACCATGCGTATGCACAAATGAGGAAGGCTGAACTGACTTAGAAAATGCAAACACATACCTTTTAAGTACATGCAGAGCCTATAAAACCACATTCATTAAAAAGAGATTTAATTAACATTTTTTAAAATCATTAATTTACTAATATATTGGCCAAATGTAATAAATAACCATGAAATTGATACACTTTCACCCTCATCATTGTGACAATTAAAATATTCAACGATAACAACAGTCCTAGTTTACAAAGGAATATATGAGAATGTACATTTCGAAATGTAGGCCTAACAGTTTTGGCTTTCATTTAATTGTTTCGGCCTATAATGATCACCCACTCCCAACAATTTCTTGTGCCATGAAATTATGCATCTGTGGCCAAAGGCAATTGGTTAGCATGTTAAAGGGCATGCAGGGTATATAAACGATTCTGATTCACCTGTGCAAGTGTTAAGATGGCATATCTAGCCTTGCTAGAGGATATTGCAGCCCGTGCCACAATAGCAGACCGGGCTGGGATTTCACAACCCTCCCTGAGCCGTGTCATCCCACAGGTATTAAATGGCATCCTAAGGCTATTGCCTGAATATATCAAATTCCCATATGATGAACATAATCAGACCAATGTGAAGAGAGGGTTCCATGGCATAGCTGGAATACCAAATACAATTGGCGCAATAGACAGTACCCACGTGCGCATCAAAGCTCCATCGATTGACTCAATGCAATACATGAACAGAAAAAACTATCACTCCATCAACGTGCAGATGATCTGTAATGCCAACTGCCATATCCTTAACGCTGTAGCCTGCTGGCCAGGAGGCACCCACGACTCATTTATTTTGCAAAACAGTACAGTGGGAATGCGTTTGGAGGCAGGGGCTGTGAGAAGTGGATGGCTTGTTGATGAGCATTTTTTGTTCTGGTCTTTTATTTCAATTGTTTTTAGTTAGTATTTTTAGTAAGTCTCTATTCTGTTAATGCTAAAATGTTATATTGTTTAGGTGACCGGGGATATGGCCTTAAAACATGGCTGATGACACCTTACGCAAACCCTGAAACCCCTCAAGAGGTGCGCTATAATAACATACATGCCCACACACGCGCCGTAATAGAGCGCACTTTTGGCGTGCTTAAGGGCCGTTGGATGTGTTTGGATACAGCCGGTGGCAAACTACTTTAGCTATACGCATGAGAAGGTGTGCAAGATCATCCTGGCATGCTGTGTCCTCCACAATCTTGCAATGGCATGGCATTCCTATAAGACCCGGCGCCATCGCTTCTAACAAACTGTGAAATTTACTTCTTCTCTCCTCGTGTAACCACTTCCTTCATTCATGAATCAACTCTAGGCAAGCAGTTTCCTTATATGGAGAAATGGGTTGTGGTAGTATGCTAATTACAAATTGCGAGCACGCGCCTGTTAATTTAGAATGATTCTGATTCACACACATATGCAAGGTGGTGAGAACAAAATTGGCCGGTGCACAGGTGTCATGAATCCCACAGTGATTTTGCGTACGCACTTATTTTGTGCGCAAAGTAAGAACATTTCCACGCACATATTAGTGAATGACGCCCATTGTGGGTAAATGCTTAACAGACAGGGTGTCACTAAGGGTGCAACAATGATCTTCACTGATATTTAGACAATATCTGGATTTAGAAAGAGCCTTCTTCAAATAAACACCCCCCTTTTTCATCCCTAAATGCCTCCGGGCGATAGCTGTAGCCAAATTTTTTCAGGTTGTCTGTCTGTACGTATGTTTGTCCATCCGCCCATCTGTCCATTTGTGCCATTGTCGTGAATGCAATATCAAGAACGCCTTAATAGAATTTCTTAAAAATTTGACACAAATGCGGACTTAAAGATAAACTGATTAGATTTTGGTGGTCAAAGGTCAAGGTTACTGTGACCTTTCATCCGTCTCATTCTTGTGAACGCTATATCTCTAGAACCCCTTGAGGGAATTTCTTCAAATTTGACAAAAACGTCCACTTGGATGAAAGAATAAACTATAAGAATATAATGGTTGGAAGGTCAAGGTCACTTTGACTTCACAAAACACGTTTTTGGCCATAACTTAGGAGTTCATATGCTAATTATGACAAAACTTCACATAAATGTTTAATAGGATGTAATGATGAAGTGAATACATTTTGTATCCAAAAGGTCAAAGGTCAACTTCATAATATTCTGCATAAAACGCTTTTCTGGCCATTACTCAATGTCATATCTCAGGAACAGGTGGGGAGACATTTGGTCAGATACTGAATTGGTGATACTAACCTTGGGTGCCTAACTTGAAACTGTGCTGATTATATAGATCTTCTGTGCTGCTGGGGGAGGATGTGTGTGAAGAATCCATGTTTTCACAGACATAGATGTTAACTATAAAAGAAACTTGACTGGTGTACAGACGCATAAAACAATGAGGAAATTCTAGTTTATCATTATTATTATTATTATTATCATTAATATTATTATTATTGTTATTATTATTATTATTAGCAAAGAGCAATGTGAGGAACATTCCAATAACCAGTGGCAAATTATATCATCTGTTTTAGTTCTATGTAAACAATATGTCTGTAATATATGATGCTTTTGTGTTGCCAGGTAAAGACTGTCCTCCGCCGTTCCCCCCTGGCTTCGAGCCACCCAGCTACACATCAGTCTGTGATATCATAACAGCAAAGGATGGACCCCTGGCTGACTGTGTAGGCCGTGTAGATTCCAAGCAGTACCACGATGACTGTGTCTATGACATGATACATAATAACGGCAAACAGGAATTAGCCTGTAACATCATCAGTGTTTATGTGGAAGAGTGTCAGAGGAAAGGAGGCTGTGTGAGGTCATGGAGGACGAGGCGCTTCTGCTGTGAGTATTCTGTAATGTGTGTTGAGCAGGTTATTCCACACTCTGTCACAGATGATGTTCTTGGACTGTACTAACTCCTGCTGATCAATATTAATGACAGAGTTAGTTAGTTAGTTAGTTAGTTAGTTAGTCTTGAAAATTAATTCTTGACCTTGGGAACAGCAGCGTAAAGGAGGTATATGTAAGAAATCTAAAGCAAATAGTCGTAAAATCCGCCTAATATGTCCCAGAGACTAAGGAGTAATGTAAATATCACATACTTACCTCATGGACAACAATAGTGTAGCCAGAACATTCGCATTGTGTGACCCCTGGACATTTTTGTCCATTTCCAAAACTCAAAACTCCCTCACAGACAAATGAAAGGTCACAGGGGGGTGATATTTTGCATGGGGGTGTCATTCTGGGTGAAATTTCAAAATCTCAACTTTCAGCATGAAAATCCATTATTTGACCCTGTAATACATTTTTATTCTATCCATGACCCTTTGTGGACAAAAATGTCCACTTTCTAGGAAGTGTCCAACAAAAGGTCACAGGGGCTTGATTTTTGGCAAGGGGGGGTAATTTTGGGTTAAATTTGAAAATCCCAACTTTCAGCATGAAAATCCATTATTTGAACCTGTAATGCATTTTTATCCCATCCATGACCCTTCAAGTGGACAAAAATGTCTGTTTTCTAGGAAGTGTCCAACAAAAGGTCACAGGGGTGTGATTTCTGGCAAGGGGGGGTAATTTTGGGTCAAATTTGAAAATCCCAACTTTCAGCATGAAAATCCATTATTTGACCCTGTAATGCATTTTTATCCCATCCATGACCCTTCAAGTGGACAAAAATGTTCACTTGTCATTTAGCCATTTTTTATTGTTGCTATTTGTACTTAATATTCTCAAAATCTTTGAGGTGACCCATATGGAGTTACACTAAATCACTTTTGACATGGATTTTAATATTTTAATCCTTTCCAGGCCATTTTGAACACATCTGGATGCTGTTTCTATAGAGGGCAAAACCACTAAAGGGGGTGGTAGAGGACACAGAAATGTTTTTGCAATAGATGTCTTGGGTGGTAATCACAGGGTTGACTGTGTCAATGATCCCCAATAAATGTGGTTTGGATGCCATGATCTTTTGTTACTGCAAAAACTCATGATTTCTCTATTGTCAGTGGTGTCTTTAGTGTGAAAGAGATGTACCTTAGAAATGAAGGCAAAATGAGAGTTCAACATAAGAAAAATATTATATTTGAATTACAACAATAAACACAATAAATTCTGAACAATAACAGTACAGTAGATATAACAATAACAATAGAACAATAACAACAAAAAACAGTGTGACATAACTATTGTGTGAGGGATAGGGAGGAATGAAAGTGGGGAGGAGAGAAGGACAGGAGAGGGTCAAATGGTGCATTCTGAACAGTATATTGCCTGAATGCATCTCTTACATACAAACCTCTTGCATCTAGTGCAAGAGGTTTGCATCTCTTACATACAAACCTCTTGCATCTAGTGCAAGAGGTCCCTGGTTTTGCCCTCTTTGCCGTGGGGCAGGTCCTGAGAGGCCCTTGGTCTGTACCACAGCAGCAGGAGCGGCAGCGGCAGTGGCAGTGGCGTGTGCCCATTTGGCAGCAGCTCATGTCTGCCGGATGGGTGGCTTTAGGCCAACAGCTAGTGGTTGTGGAGCAGGTGTTGGTTGTGGAGCTGGTGGTTGCTGCTCGGCCCAGGCCTTTGCCTCCATCACCCGCTTGCGTGCCATGTCAGCCTGGGGTAACCGGGTTCTCCTTGCCATATGAGGATAGATGAGCTCTTTTCCCAGTGTGACAATGAAGAGGCGCCTGCGATTTTTTTTTTTTTTTCCCCAGCCTGGGTTCAGGGCCGTCCACACAAGGAAGCCGTTCCAGGTGGAGATGTCCAGGATCCTGGAAAACACTGTCACAGGCCACCTCCTCGTCTGTCTTCGGCATGTATAGGTGCCGATAACCTGCAAGATAATAAAATAAAATTAAAATAATAAAATTACTTTTCACACACACACACACAAATACATATAATATATACACATATATCATTCACATAAAATGAGTAAGGCATACCTTGTCCAAGTTATCCACCACTCCCTTGCAACGGTTATAGTCCAGGATTACCTGTGGCTTTTGGTGTGCTGCCTCGCTCACCACTGGCTGCCGGTGCTTGGTGCTGAGGAGCACCACCATCTTTCGCTCCTTTGGAACGTAGGAGCAGATCATTGTGTCTTTCGTGAAAGCAAAGGTGGTAGACAGCACCTGCCTTGCCCTCATCTCCATGAGTTGTGCTGGGAGCTCCTGCCTTCTCTTTTTGAGAGTGCCGACAAGAGCCATCCCCCTCCTCAGCAGCTGCTGGCCCAGCTCGTGTGAGGTAAAAAAATTGTCGGTGGTCACAGTTCCTGTGAGGCCCGCCGTCAACTCCATCACCACACGCTTCCCCAGGCCCTCCTGAATGAATAAGAAGAAAGAATGATTATAGGAATGAGCTCTGCATTTTATCTGTGTAGACCAATTTCTACATTTCTACCCAAGTATTTTGATCTATATGTTTACCTCACGTTTTGCTGTTGGGGAAGGTTTCCCCAGATAAAACTGCAAGTTCCAACAGTATGATGTCTCACACTCACAGAGGACCCACACCTTCAATCCATATCTAAATGAGCGTGTGAGAGAATGAATCCATGAATGAATGACAATCTTAATTTCAAAATATGATAAGGCCTACCAAATAGAGGCTAAATATAATAAAGCCAATAGGGTAATGATGATAATATGATAAAAATAAATGTTACCTGTCTGGCTTCGAAGGCATGTATTGCATGAAGGGACATCTCCCACGAAATCCTGTGGACACAGAGGATGCAGATGAATTTTAGCATTCTAGATTTCTGTGACAGTTGGTAACAGTCTATTGTCACTGACAAATAAAGTAATGCAATACAATATAATACTAACCAATCAGCATCTTGTCCACGCAGACCTCTGAGCGAGGTGCCCACATCCTCTGCAAGGCAGAGACCCAGATGTCCCACACCTCCCTGATTGGTCCCAACTTATCATGGTCCTGCTGAAACCGTGCCTCCCGTGTTTCACGGTCATCAAACCTGTTTGATCAAAAGAAATGAGAAAAACAATGTCACAACACATCCCTTTATCCATCCAGATGAAATGAATGAATGAATGCATGTACATATATTTTACATCTATAAAATAAATCAAACAAAATCATCATCATCATGTATGACTCAAAATAATGTATAAAAAAATCACATCTGAGCATCCTGGATATAAGGATGAACCTCTTCCTCGACATTACTGCCGGGAAGAGGTCTCTGCCATCTAATCCCCAGAGGCTCAGGGTGTTTTCTCCACGGGATTTGAAAACACCAGCCAACAGGAGAAGACCGAAATAGGCCTGCATCTCCACTTTGTCGACTGGTACCCATGTTGGCATGACCCTTTGGCCCTGCATATAGAGATGAAACAGTATGAAAACTTCAAACAACATATTACAGTCATCAGTATTATCACGGTATTGTTAAATTTTACTGAAAATGTTATCTAAGAAGTGTTTTAACTTACCTGCAGATTTGTCATGTTCACCACAATGTCATAAATTTCGTCTGTGACATAAAGGTGAAACATGCTGAGGATGTCAGTTGTGCGGTGTATTGCGTAGTTGGTCACGCCCTCAACTGGACCACGTTTGGGTGGCTCATAAATAAATGTCTCTGAATTGACTGGAAGCCAGCGGATTCTGTCGTTGAAATGATTTTTCCTGGTGCCCTTTGACCACCAGACATCCTGCTCCATTTCCCTCACTTCAAAATCTTCATCTTGCCCCTCGTCCTCCTCTTCCTCCCCTTGGCTCTCATCTTCCTCCTCTCCTTCTTCGTCCTCATCCTCTTCCTCACCTCCTTGGCCTGGGACCCACTCCTGATCCAGCACGTCATCCAAATCTGAGGAGTCTTGGTCCGTGACAAGCCCATTTTCTTCATCCTCCTCATCTTGCTGCATCTCCTCCATGCCTTCATAGCTGTAGTCCTCCTCTTCTTTCAGCCTTTCATCTTCCTCCTCATCTCCTACCTCTTCATCTTCTTTCTCCCCCTCTGAGGCACTTTCTGTTTCTTCTTTTACTGACTCCAGGAACACCAAAATGCTTTCTCTGGCCTCAGGAGTGCCAATATTCCTCCGAAATCTGCTTTCTCTGCTTTTTCTCGCTGCCATTTCTCTCTGTCTGCTCCTCTGTGTGGCTTGTGAAACATGAGACCTGCACCCACTTTTTGTAAGCAATATATAGATTTGTTTGAAAACACCACACAGTTGCCGGGGGAAAACGTTTGATGTCCTGCACGTGTGTATGATGATTAGCAAATGGCAGACAGCCTTGATCTGATTGGACTGTCTTGTCTGTCAAAGTTTTTGATAAGCCCTCTGTTGCTGGGCACCGTCGCCAGGGGGCAACCTTTGAAGTGCTGAAAGTTGTTACTTTCCTATCTTATTATGGAGAAGGAGGACACTTCATTTCTAAGGTACATCTCTTTCACACTAAAGACACCACTGACAATAGAGAAATCATGAGTTTTTGCAGTAACAAAAGATCATGGCATCCAAACCACATTTATTGGGGATCATTGACACAGTCAACCCTGTGATTACCACCCAAGACATCTATTGCAAAAACATTTCTGTGTCCTCTACCACCCCCTTTAGTGGTTTTGCCCTCTATAGAAACAGCATCCAGATGTGTTCAAAATGGCCTGGAAGGGGTTAAAATGTTAAAATCCATGTCAGAAGTGATTTAGTGTAACTCCATATGGGTCACCTCAAAGATTTTGAGAATATTAAGTACAAATAGCAACAATAAAAAATGGCTAAATGACAGGTGGACATTTTTGTCCACTTGAAGGGTCATGGATGGGATAAAAATGCATTACAGGGTCAAATAATGGATTTTCATGCTGAAAGTTG